TCAAAAGACCCATTGCATATTATATTGTATTATTATATTTCCTGTAAAAATAAAAATTCGAAGGAAGGAATCTTCTATTCTGTTAAAAAAAAAAAACAAATATTTTCCATATATCCAAGAACATAAAATATTCCCCATTATAATTGTTTTGGTAAAATAATAATTTTAAAAAATGTTTTATCAAAATATATGTGCAGACTTAAAATAAGAACAAATAGGTTTGAAATCTTGGCCTTAATCTACCAGATAGATAATTTCTTCTTATCAAAATCAGCCAGAAATTATACCAAAAGAAGTTCCTATTTTTAAAAAAATAATAAAAAAAAATTCTTGAGTACACTGAGGCTACATGGCTGCATTTTCAGGCACAGATGTCTTAATATAGATGCTTATCTAAATGTGTTTTCAATGGCCATTAGGCAAGATGTTTTTAATACCTTGATAAGAAAACTTTCTGAAAGATTGTCAGACAGCAGAAAAAAACTATAATTTTGTTTTCTCACTTGGCAAAATGGTTCTGTGAAAACCATCTAGGTGGCAGAAAAAATATAATTTATTGATGAATTTAAAAAAGTGCGAGTGTGAGGTAAAAAATAAGTAACACAGGCCATCCTTAATGCTCTCGCTCAAAGTTACTATATATAATGCAATTTGCAATGTTCCCATGTAAACAGTTCAGTAATGGAATTAATAAATGCTTATACATGAACCTTTAGATGACTGGGTATTACTGGATATTTTTCTTGGTATCTTGGCTTCTGACAGAAAACCATTCTATCTTCATGTAGAGAACGAGAAAGCTCTAACAAGCTCTAACAAACTGTCCCTTCTCATACAAGAAAAAGTTTGAGAATCAAATGTTAAAAAAAGAAAATTAATGAAAGGTGAAGTTCATATTCCAGCTAACTACACAAAGCATCTATTTGTGGACTTTTATCTTAAACACTCTCAACAGTTTAATCAAAGAGAATTAATCAAATGAATAAAAAAAAAAAATAATAGTCAAGGAAATTTTCACTTTGATACACTTGGTTATTTTGATTCTATTTCTCTGACCATATTTAACCTAAAGGCTAACAGCTGTCTACATTGCAAATTTGACAGTATAAACCAAATCCTGCTAATGTTTCTATTAAGGTGTGCCGAACCTGTAGGTGGCTCGCTGTAATTGTTTTGCTAAGTATATGCAGATTATCTTTACGACACTCCTCTATAAATGATATACCCCAGGAATGCAACTTCAAATAAATATCACTTGCGATTTTAACAACCTTGAGAGGTATGGCGCAATAATGATATCCCCGGATAATTCTCTCTTATTTATTCCTAAAACAGCTTGTTACGATCATGTTGGACTTTCCTCTTCTCATCGAAGCACTCTATACCTTGATGAATTTTGATACCTTAAGTACCCTTTTTTAACTCTGGTTTTGAATGTTATTTGTTTTGATGATGGAGCCAAATGGCACAGGAAATGGGTCTAAATAGTGAATTGAATGTTCCGACAGTTCAAATATCTAATTAATTCAAAATTATTACAAAAAAGAAAATTTAATATGAAAGAGAAATTGAATTCTGAACTTATTATTCATTCCCCGTACCACTGTACTGCGATATAAAGACATTGGCAGGTGATAAAAAAAGCATTTCCATAGAAATCTACAGTTAGCTACTTAAATCCCAACTATAGAGGGTGCTATAATTTATACTGTTCATAAGCTTTATCCACACACTAAGTTTTGTGACAAATGTTTGTAAACTGACCATATATGGGCATGGTTACAGCTATATATGGGCATGATGTCATATGACACCCATACTTATTGGTCACATGTTATAGTGTGGACAGAGTATTAGAATACAGATTTTGCACAATTTTCACTAAATATTTGAGATGGAAACTATGAAAGTTCAAGTTTTTTAGACTAACTTTGATTTCTCTTTTGTACAAAGTATTTCATTATGTTTTGTTAATCCTATCCACTACTTTCACAAAGAATAAGAAACAAACACCAGGAGAAGAATAGAACAATTGAAAAAGGACAAAGCAGGATTGACCATTAGTATGCTTTGATTTCGAACATGGGACAAGATTTTGAATGGAGAGTCTGCTGTCTTATTTTCTCGAATATTCTCGAATACAGGGAAAATTAAATACAAAAAAGAGGGTGAGATGTCAGGATCGGTTGCTTATTTCTTACAAAAGTTTGCCAGACAATTGCTACACTTTAGACAATAAGTCTTTTGTTTCTTGCACAAGTTTCAATGAATACAGACGACAATAGTTGCTTACTTACATTCATCTATGGTGTTGTGTCCCGTCTTCACCGCCCACCACGATGTACAATATTGTTGTATGTCTCACCCAAAGCCTTGGGGAAAAGATAAAGAGAGCTGAACAAATCTGTGATCTGCAAGACAGAAAAGGATTATCTTGGTTTAAGTCATTCAAACATTCCTAAGGATTGTTCCTCAAGGCCATCCTAATCTTTTCTGATCTGTTGTACTTCAATAAATTTGCCAGTTCTTTCATGTTTTTTTTTTTATAAATGCTCACTTGATAATATAAACAATTTTGAGAGTAGAACAGAGAGTTTATGTTTAATGTTCTTCAGGGGTTAACCTTGCTTTTAATGCATTCATTGTAAGGAAAGATAACACATTTGATTAATTACAAGAAACAGATTAGACAAAATAAAATTGGAAATTAACAAAGAACACATTTTGAGTAACCTAGGAGGTATTATCTAATTTGTTCTTTCCACAAAGAAAATGAATAATGACAAGATACATTAGTAATTTAAATAAAGAGGTAAAAGAGGAAAATAAACAAAAAAAAAGAGTAATGTATAGAATGATACAGTTTCGTTGAAATTGTGAAAAAAAAAAATACTCAAAAAGAATATGGACCAAACTCTGGAATAAAAAAAAGAAATTTCATTGATATTACTTTTATATTATCTTATACTTAAATTATATATATACTATGCATAACAAATAACTGTTTTATATAGAGCAATCATTAAAAAATCCACAAATTTAATATTCTGACCAACTTCAAATTTTAAATACACTTCTTTTTTTTTTATAAGAACCAGTAAAATTTTGCCCAGGCTCTGTGTTCTTATTTTCTAGCCAATTTCATGCTTAAAATGTTCTTATTCTGTTCTTATTTTTACACAATTTTCAAACATAGAAAATGATAATTGTAGAGTTTGTTTGTCTTTATATTATTTTTAAATAAAAACCTCATTTGTCATTTTACCTCAACCTCAATTTGTTCTTATTTTGTTCTTTGAAGTAATATCAGTCTCAGTGTTCTTATAAAAAAAAAGAAGTGTGATGAAATAAAAATGAGTTCCGTTCCAACCTAGTTTTGATCTAAATTAAAAATTTGTTGAAAGAAAAAAAATACAACATTTAGAATTCCAACTAAACACTATTTGGTTGAAAATGACAATTTACGTGTCTACCCAATTCACAAAGCAACCATTGTGGGCACCGATGTATCAAGGATATATATGTTAATTGTTGTTTTGAGATACTATCACATTCCCACAGATAAATTTACAGAATTCTACGGATCATTACAATACTAGACTGCTCAAACTCATCACATTCCTAAAAATTGCAGCAAAAAAAAAATGAGAACAAATGAAGACGGATTCCATAGGGATCCACCCATAGGTTGGAAATCAACACTTTTTAATGTGGAGAAGAATTACTATGAATATAACAAATATGAAAATATTGAATTATATGATCTGCAAATCAAACATATAAAATATATCAACAATATAATTATCAATATATATTTAAAAGTTTCATAGTAATATTAAACAATTATGACAGTAGAACTGTTTCATCGATAATAATATTGATAGAAATAACAATATTGATAGTAATAACAATATTGATAGTAATAACACTATTGATAGTAATAACAATGATTGTAATGATATAACACTAAACAATATTAAAACAATAATATTAAAACAAAACAAAATTGACAGTTTAATTTTAGATATTTGTACTTCGAAAGAAATAGAAATAGAGTGGGAAATTACATTGAACATTATCATAAAACAATACTTAAATAATAATTATAATAATATGTCGGTCTTATAAAGCGCATAATGCGCTCTTAATATCGCGATCAAACACATATGGAACACATACTAAGCTCCCTGGGTGAGTATTCCATAATGTTGTTAGCAAGTAATCAGGGCAGTGACATATAAACCTTCCCGGTACCCACATATACTCCTGGGTACGCACAAATACCTCTGGGTACCCATAAATACCCCTGGGTACATATATATATACTCTTGGGTGGTGATAATAATAATAAATTCCACGTATGATCATTATTAAATATAAAAAAAATTAACTAAACCACGAAACATAAAGAAGTAATAAATGAAAGTGTTCGAAATTAGTAATAGACATTAATTTCATAAGGTTCTAATTACTTGATAATCACAAGATAAGCAAACTTTCTAAATTAGTGTTAAAAATTAACTCTAATTAACTGTGATAAATGAAATTAAAATAAATGATATAAAATATAATAATAAAAAGTATGAAGTCATTTAGGTAACTTTTGATGCCTATAATGGCAATATTAATCTTTCCACACTCTTTTCTTAATTGAACAAAATAACAAATCCTATATCAATCTCATGTCTTAAACAATAACCTCAATTTACTGGCTTGTTACAGGTTTTTATCAGTATTAGCTCTGCAAAGGTGATCATATAATACTTATTACGGGGTATTATAAATAATTTTGTAATTAGCCTTAATATTAATATTATTGTATACTACATTGTTAAAAATGATTGCAAATCAGAAGACGTTGGTGACAACCTCACAAAATAGGAAAAAAAAAACAACTTTTGATGCCTTCTAGAAAAATCTGGGGTAAGGCATACAACCTTCCAATGCAGAAAGAACCTACTCTTAAGCTGCACTAAGGCTATAGGTTGATGCATGAAGACTATTGCAATTGAGAGAACATTATACATCAGGTTTACATAAGCTCTCCTAAATCAAATTCTATTGGTATTAAAGGACAATGATTTAAAGAATTGGCAAGTTCCCAGAAGAGTTGGGGGCTAGGGAAAAAACCCTTCACATTACTCTTTGTCGACAACTCAAGTTCCATTTGCATTAATAACAATTGTAATCTCTTCATACCCTTTAGCCACCATTCATAATTTACTGAGTCAAGAAATATGGAAGTTTTAATAGGACAAAGAATTCAGCAAAATATTCTATTCTACCTCGATTCTTAAAAGTTGCCTACTAGCTCAGTAGCAACAGTACTAACAAAGGCCTAATGCATAAATTTTATGTTCTTCCTATACTCGCTTTAAAGTTATGAAGGAACCTTCAGATACTGAATACTAGCTCATTATTATTGGCATTACTTACAATTATAGACCCTACACTTAGATCTTTGATTGAATATTAAAATAAAGCAATTTAGATATTAAACTTTGAATGTTTTTTACATAGGATATAATTTTAGATGCATTTTTGTGTTGAATGCAAATTGCTGACAATACTCATTCCACCACTAATCCAAATTTGGCTGTAAATTGTGTTGTAAATTGTGGGTGCATGCTCCAGTCCCATGTTATGCCAAGTTTATGAAGGCTTAGAAAACTTATGAGGGCAGTATTCAAACTTACTTATCTTTCATTTTCAATCAAAATGTGCATCAGTTGTAATTGTATTATGAATATATTAATATATATATTGATGTGTTTGGTATTTCATATCCATTTAAAAACACTGAAATTTTATTTGACAGGTAGGAAAATCATTAGCATAAAATTCATTGGATACTCTGTCTACCGTAATTACTCCATCATGAAGGAATGTGTAAATTTAAAGGAATTTAGTATCAAAAACTTTACTTCAAAGATATACTATATATAGTAAAATCTGAAAAGATATCTGTCAAACATTCAATCAAAATACTGAATTGCTCATTCAACAGGAGTTATCAATCCCCATTGAATTGCATATTAAAAAATCAATAAGTTTTTGCTGAAATAAATTTAACAAAACTTTACTATAGAAATTCTTTAGAAACTCTTTGCTAGCAAAGTCCCTGTAAGTAATGAATTTGGGAATGTTATTGACATAATAAAATAATATATTTATAAAGCATTTCTTAATAGGCAAAGAAAAATATCCTTTCTAATATATATAAAGATGAAATTAAAATGTTGAATTAAAGTTATAATTAATTTTAAGACTATTAGTTCTACACAGGCAGTGTATTTATTTAATGAAGAATTAATGACTTGGTCTGAAGAAACAGCATACATTCAACTGCTATTATAATAAAATTTAAAAATTTCAGTTAAGAAAAATCAGACTTTTATATATGTTATAAAGATTTATAAATGTAATATGGAATTGCTAGTTTAACTGAATTTAGAAGTTCCTAAACATGAACAAATGTAAAATAAGACTGAAATTTGATTTTTTTTTGTGTTCCACACAAAAAATAAATGCAGATGGATTTTTTATGTTTGATTTTGCAATAGATCTGCGAAGAAATATAGTAGGTGCAAAAAACATTAGCCTATACAACACTGCTAGGCTAGGCCTAGCCTTACCTCAATTTAGGTTCGGTTATCACGCATAAAAACGGCCGACATGATATTTTCTGTTGCTAGTATTGACACTTGTATATATTTCACAGGATTTATTTCAATTCTGTTAAAAAAATTATTCTGACCGAGATTTTGACAATTAAACAAACATATCTCAGGCCTACTCGATCGACTCGAAAAACCAATTTCATTAGAGAGGGCGCACTTTATTGATTGTATAAAGTATACATAAAAGCGAGAGCATTCCAGCGGATGCGATCTACAACCTTTGAATTTGCCTAGTAACGAAGAATTCATCTAGAAAATGGTAAACGCCTATGAGAAATAGTCTGTATTTCTCATTTGTTTAAATTCTTTTGTGAAGGGATATGCCACTAAGTGATTTAGTTTACTGTTTGGCATATCCTTGGTTGTTGGCCTAAAACAATAGAAAAATAAAGTAATTATCTGAGATTAATCTTGAGAATTGTTTCATAAACTAGGGGGAAAATAGTCCAAAGTTCCACACAAAATCCTTCACAAAAACTAGTTTAAATCAGTGATCATCAATACAATGAGGGAATCTATGATGACAGGCTATTCCAGCCTGACATGGAACATTTGAGGCTGTTAATTGGCGTTCTTTATTGCTCAATCAAGCGTATAATGAACCAATAATATCACTGTCTGTCATTTAAAAGCTACTTCTTTCAAACATGGGGTAACATTAATGGTTACACTGATCGATCTTGACAACAAAATCAGAACTGTTAAATTGGCAGAACAATGGACGGAATAGG